GAGATGGAAGAGCTGGCTGTCGTTGTTTAAAGGCAGTGGTGGGAAGGATAAACCAGCTGGTGCAGTAAGCTGACAGCAAAGGCAAAAATCAGCACGGTGCCAAGGTACCAGGCGTATCCTCAGTGTACGTGATACAGGTGTGTTTTCTCTCCCCGTGGGTGAGTTTAAATCCCGGGTGCTAGCAATTCTTGTACAAACTGCACAAATTTCAAGGCCAGCTTTCCAGGATTGTTTTGGGGATTTGCCCAAACATTGCTCAACCAAACTGCAAATAGGGTGGTCTCTCTGATACAGTCTACCTTTCATGTTTCCTGCTCCGCCGCTCAGAGTCAGCAATTGCTTTTTGACAGAAGGCCCAGCGGGTGCTTTCTGAGCTGTCATCACCACCTTCCGCTGAAAATGCACTGTACTTCTCCCTGCCAGTTCGGAAGTACAGTCGACCTCCTGGGAAGATCTTAAATAGATTTGCAAATAAGACTGGCATCTTTGCTTTGGCATGAAGTTGATCTTGGCATTTACAAAAACCGCATCTTTCTAATGTTCCAAAACAGTGGCCTGAGGCCAAACAGCCTTGCAGGTCTGCTGCGAGAACCCGATTTGCATGGTTTCAATCTCCTGGTTCAATAGCTCTCCATTTCTGGAAACAAAGTTCACTTTGGGCCTAACCTTCAAATATACCCCATGGGACAGGGGCTTACATAACTCTCTGTGTGCACTGTCACCTGAATTTCACACCTGATAAGGCTGTTGAAGTAAAGAATGTCTTTCTAGAACACAAGGCACTAAAATAGTCATACACTCCTTAGCAGGCACACAAGGTCCTCAGGGTCCCAGCCCACACTCTCTACCAGCTCACCTCCACCTCACACATCCCACAGGGTGTTTGCTGGAATGTGTCCTTCCATAAGACCCCTCTCTCTTAACTACTTTATCAAATTGTTCATTTTGTTATAATCTCATTTATCTTCCAGTTTCCTAATTCTGCTTTCAGCTTTCCAGTCTATATTTAACCTATCGATCTGTTTCTATTTCAACAATGGCCTTTTATTTCCAGAATTTGTATTGGTTCCTTTCAAACCCGCCCTCCCCCACTCCCTTTCGAATTGCTCCATTTTCTGTCAGTCCTGGAGTGTGACTTCGATCACTTGTCCTATCTGTTCATTCTCACACACGCAAAGAGCCATTTCCTCTTTGTTTCGTCAGTTTTTACTCTGAGCTCATCTCCAACAGGAATTATCCTGCTCAGGCCCTGGGTTTGGGGGACATCTCTAGGGAGAGGTTTGGGGTATGTTTTTGCTGGACTCCCTAAGGACCTCAGGGACACATTTTTACACTATTTCTGCATTCTGGATTTCCACACCATGTGGGCTGGTGCCTTCGGACCCAATGCACGGACACGCGTTCCAGGCTGGCTGGCTGGCTTACTTCCTGAATTCCTCGGTGGCTGTCCCCGGACCTGGCTTCAGCTGTGGGCTTTGTGCAGACATACACGCCCACTCTGGCTTTTCTTGCACAGAGGACCTGAGTCCCACTCCTCATCCCCATGGGCTTTGAAACCCTGGCTGTATAGGGTGGGCCACAGCTCCTCAAGTGGCCACTCTTTCAACTCTCAGATGTAGCTTCAGTTTTTTCTTTTGTTTGTTTTTTATATCTAAGGATTTCTTTTCCTAGCTCTCTTATTTTTATCTTATTTTGTTTTATTGTTGTTATATTTTATCTAGCATCTAAATGTATTTGGAAAAAGAAAGGAGTTTCCATTTCTGCTCAGGCTGAAAATATGTGCTAAGTATTGTGTGTGGTTTATTTTAGCTTGATTGACACATCAGCCTATAATATAGATATGATTAATATCGTCACTTTATAGGTGAAGGAACCACGAATGAGGAAGTTTCTGTTAATTCCCCAAAGTCCAGAGCGTTATTCCCCAGAAATCTCTAAAGTAGGTGTGACACCCAGCCTATCACANAGTAGTAGGCTGTGTGACACCCAGCCTATCACACAGGCCTGACCTGCATGGACACCCTCCAGTCCCTCCTTTGCTGCCCCGCCCACCTCATTCTGTGGCTCCCTCCAGCCCATGGCAGCCAGTCACGAGCAGGCTGCCCACGCTGTTCCATCCACACTCATCCCAAAGCTTTCTCACCATCCGTCCCCCTGCTACAAGCAGTCCCCTGCCCCTGACCAAATGCTTTCCACTTTGCAGTAGCCTGTCCCAGGCACACCCTCAGCCTTACCCCTCTCTGGTCCTCACTGTCAGTCCTGAGTAAGAGTGAGGATGGAGAGGTGAAAATGGACCAGAGAAGCATCANGTGGAGAGGCGAGAATGGACCAGAGAAGCATCGTCAGAGCTTGGCAGTAAATTAACTGGAGGGAGAGAAAGGGTCAGGGAGTCCAAAGCAATGCCCAGTGTCCTGGCTGGACGACTGAAGTACCTGGTTTACTGGGGAAACCAACTCAGAACTTCCAATGTGGCACTTAGAGGACATTTGGGCCAACCCCTCTGTCACCTAGCCTGCTCCTTCCCTCTGGAGGGAGGCTTCCCTGGCCCTGACTCACCTTAGAGCACCAGCCTACTCCCAGCCCAGCCCTCCTTTGACAGTGTCCCTGCTGAGACTCCTCCCCATCTGTCCCTGGGCCTCTGGTGTCTGACCCACTCGCCCACCAGGCAGCAGCTGCCGCCCACCTAGAAGCACACCCGCAGGTGTCCCAAGCGCTGAGGCTCTGGGCATCGGGGGTGACTCTGGACATGCTCGGTGTGGCTGCATTCTCCAGTGATTCACGAACAGCGGGAGTTAAAGTTCTCTCCGCCCGGGAAGCTCACTTTGCCGAATCCCCTTCTTTCCGGGCTGAGCTCTGCATTGACATTTATTTTTGCCTGTTCCCGGCTTGGTCATTTTTCAGCTGCAGTTTGTCCCTGCAGTTCTAGCCGAGAGTCAATGCAGGTTTCTTCTTGATCATAGATGCACATTTATGAAACCCTAATTAGGCGGTTCCTTTAGCTGCCTTCATAGATTACTTGGTGCGAGAAGTCTGCAGGCATAAACCTCGGCTGGGCTAAAAGCCTGTTTGGATGCCCAATTAGAAGCTGACTGGGACATTTCTAATCATTCACACCTCAGAGTCTTAACTCAGGCTGCTTCGGATTCCCAGAGGCCCTTCCCTTTTGACCTTGGATACAATCATTCTTGTCATCTTTTGTGACCTACATAAAATAAGATAAAATGTATTCCCTTCCAGATTGCCAGGATTTTATATTTTTTACTGCTTGTAAGGGTTCAATGCATGAGCTCTCTGAGGGCAGGAGTCTAAATAGGCACAACCCTTGGCAGAAAAAAAAGTTTGACAGTACCTGTCAAAAGCCTTCAAAATACCTCCAACCCAGTAATTTCACTCCCAGGAATCTTTCCTGTGGATATAATCAGAAGTGCAGACAAATATTTATGCACAAAGAAATTCATTACAGCATCACTTATAATTGCAGGTACATATGAATACCTGATAATCGGAGAATATTTAAATATATTATAGTATATTCATATTATACAGCCACCTAAAATGAAGGTGGTGAAGGCATTTTAATGCTGATGTTAAGTAAAACTAGCAAACTGTATATGCAGTGTGATGCAAACAGACCTTTCCCAGCTGTTGTTTCTTGGGGCGTTTACAGGAATGCTATAAATAGAAAAGGTCCATTTTCCAGCAAAGTTGGAAAGTTATTACAGGTGGATACCGTGGGGATGCTGGGAGTCTTGGGTATGCTAATGAAATGGGAAATCCAAAAACACGGGTCTCAGAGTCCAAGGTCACTGTTTTTATGCAGGCCGCCACGGGACTGCTGTTCACAATTCAGAAAAGCTGGGGCGGGGTGCCCTGGAAAGTTATGATATGAGAGGGGCCACTGCTCTTCTTGAGCTATGGAATTATTTTATTTCTTCCTTGGAATATTTTGTACTGTCTTACAAAAATGTTTCAGGTGTTATGAAAGAAAGGGAGCCAGAGCACCATCCTCCAACCAGCTTAAGCAGATTTGAGGTGCTGTAGGGGCAGCTGGCACAGGGATTCAACAGGGAAGTCATGCTCCAGAGGATGGCCCCAGGAAGGTGGTGGTGGCGGCCAGGATGGGGGGCATCGAGCAGGAGGACAGAGTCAATTGGGTCAGGACCTCTAAGTGAGCTGTCGCAGGCACTGAGCTCACGGTCAGTAGAGTGAAACAGGACTTTAGAGACATCTGCCTGGGCCCCTTCTGCTTATCTTCTGTGGACCCCTAAAATATTCATCAGGCTTTATCAGGCTAATGGGCTTCAAAAGGAGCAATTTTCTGAGACATGAGATAGGACAATATAAAAAGAACATTAAGGAAAAAATTCTTACTGCAAAATGAAAGGGAAAAGATCATTTAGCATCCCTGTTGGTGTTATCTATTCATGAGAAACAGCGCGTTTAATCCATTGTGGGATGTAGGGAGGGCTTTGATGCCCTCACCTTGGGGTCACCTTCACGCAGAACTCATCTGTCTCTGCCGCCACAGATGGCAGGGGCCATGGAGACAAGAGGCTACAGATGAGAGACATTCGGAGATGGACTCCACAGGGCGCAGAGGGGTTACAGGGAGAGGGAGTGTGGAAGGGAGTCTAACGTCACTCCCAAGGCGCTCACTCAGGGGACTGACGGAGGGGAGCTCCATGCCTCAGCCTTTCTTTTGTGTTTCCGTCTCTCTTCCTAAGACACCCAGTCTTGATTTTAATATTTTGGATCATGCTGTGGGAGTTCAGTCCCTTGAGGTCAGGAACTGTGACTCCCTCCTAGCCCCCAATGTTTCTACCCATCCTTTGGGGCTCAGTTTTGGTTCCCAGCCCTAAGTGTGTCAATCACTATGTTCATTGCAATAAAAACTGTTGACCCAAAAATGCCTTCTCCACCTTTCGTAATTAGGATAAAAGCCTGTTTGATGTTTCATTGCATATTCAATTTTAAGTGTTGCTTCTCTTTCTTTTCTCTAGATCTGTGACAAAGAGTGGCATTACTATGTCATCAACGTGGAGTTCCCCGTGGTTACCTTATACATGGATGGAGCAACATATGAACCATACCTGGTGACCAACGATTGGCCCATTCATCCGTCTCACATAGCCATGCAACTGACGGTCGGCGCGTGTTGGCAAGGTAACCCTAACTCAAGCCCTTCTCCCTGGCCCATCTGCATGCAGCCCTTGAAGGGTACTGATAAAAGAAGTGTCTGTCCAGACACTAAGCTTGTGTAGGAATAAAACACTTGGCTTGAAACCAGATTTTGATTTTAGATCAACAGAAGCAGTTCCATGGTTGCCTCTGACTTGCTAATGCATTTTATTGTCCTGGAACCTTGTCCAGTTTCAGACTGGGGCTATGAATAAGAAAAGGCCGAGTACAGAATCCTGTATCAAAATAGTCAGTTGGTTCTGTTAAGCGCCACACTGGTCAGAAGCCAAAGATTTTCCTTTATCCCCACACAAGTTGTCCAAGCTCCCAACCCTCTGGGAACTCACAAATATGCAGGGCTGTGGGCGATGAATTTCCCACAGGCATGAGGCCACTCTCAAGTTCAGCTCAGCTCTAAGCCCCTTCCCTGATCACTAAGGACAGAGACTCCTTGTAGTCTTCCCACTCAAAGCTCTCTGCTCCCTCCTCACTTCCTTTCCTTCAATGCACAAACCCAGGCTAATCTTCTGTTTGGAATCAGGAAAACCAGCTCTCCAAGGAGCAGGAATGCCTGAAAATCCAATCATCTTTCTCTTACTCAGATCCATTGGACTCTGTTTTTGCTCCCTTAAGGGCTGTGGTTCTTTGAAGTACCAATGAGAGAGCAGAGGGGAAGGAACATACTCCCCAAATAAGCAAATTAGTCCTTTGAGATGATCCAACCTCATGTTGATGGACTCTGTGAAAGTTACTAAGGTTTGTGACTTTGACCATTTACCAGAGAGGACTGAAGGGAAAGGTGGGTTATGGTATAAGAATATGCTTTCAGAGGACCAGCCAACCATAGGGTGAACTAGAGGAGACATAGGCCTATCTGGGACAAAGAGTGAGTTCTGAAGGCCCATGCAAGAGAAGATGGAATAAGTGCCATAGTGCAGCCCTGGGAGCAGCAAGAATACAAAACCCAGGAAGGAAATAAAGCACAAATGAGGCAAGGGAAGAAAATGTGTTTTTGAGCTGAGGTCACCTCCTTGATGTCTGACATATGTCACATGATAGTAAGAAGTGCAATAAACATTTCAATAGAACTTGATAAGAGTTTCCTCAGTTCGGCAGAATTCCCTGGGATATCGAGAAAGACTGTGTCATCTGGCAAGAGTCCATGAAACTAATTAGTATAGCAAGGCACTAATTCAGAGGTTTCACAGGAATTATTAGTCACTGAACTCAGCAGTGCAAGAGCAGTGGCCCTCTGGTGTGGCTCAGTGCCCCAACCAGCACCACAGCCAGCCAGTGGATATTTTGGAACATAGTCTGGATACTTCCCATAATAAAAGAGGGTCCTAATTCATGTCCTCACCATGAACCTAACCATGACTTTCCTTAGGGGCCCTCAGAGACCACATCTTGATTCCTGTCACCCTAGCCTGCACCGGAAATCTGCCCCCAATTCTACAAGGCCCGTTACAACCAATGCTGCCTATTTTCATGCTCACTGGGTAGGGAAACAACCCCACAGAGATAAAAAGTGATTTCATAGAGAATTAATATGATCTCTTTGAATCAAAATAGGCTAAGTTGTACTGCAGTGACAAGCAAGCCCCAATTCTCAGTTGCTTAAAATAATTCTTGCCTCATGTCCACTGTAAATCAGTAGAGGCTCTCCATTGATCCCAAGCAGACATAGCAGCTGCGTTGCTGGATACTGAGAAAGAAGAAAAAGAAAGCATGATAAATGGTGTGCAAGCTCTTAAAGTTTTCACCTACAAGTGACAAAATCATTTTTACTCACATTATATTGACCAAAACAAGTCATATGGCCACACCTAATGACAGGGAGGTGAAATTTGTAACTTGGCTGGAAGAAAAATTAAACATATTTTTTGAATAACACTAATGAACACCCCAGACTATTCATCTAGTCAATAGGTATTTGTTTAACTGTCCTTCCCACATAAAAAAATATATACAACCATCCTCTCCTAAATGAGGCAACCCAAAAATCCCACCTCTTACTGGCTCCCAGCTCAATGCCCAGGTTTTCTGAGTAATTCCCAGTGAGATACATAGGAGGCTCTACACCCAATGTAGATGTGGCTTCCCTTGATCTAGATATACACTGGTAGAAAGAATACACACACACTTGCCACACATATACACACACACACACACACACACAATGCAACAGTGGAATGAGACAGAACAACTAAAATATACTTCCACTAAGAAAGAGGGAGAATTTGAGACATGCGGCAGTCCTTGGTCCATCCCAATTCCGAAATCCCTTTGAGCAGATGCTGTACAGGCCCCTGCCCTAAGGTGGGGAGGGTTGTCTGTGGACCTGGAATCCATTCTCTGTGAGGTGTTTCCTTCTGCAGTATCTTAGGCCACGTCTGAAGATAAAATTGTCACTTCAGAAATAGCAGCTCTCATATTATATCTGATTACAATTTATTTAAAAGCTATTCTGCAAAAATGTTTTCAAACATTAAACCAAAGTATATGTTTATCTTACAAGAATGTGGGAGGAAGAATGACTAGTAGGCTATTCACTGAGTATTTCTTTCCTCTTCCCAGATAGACGCTAGGCCCACTTTTTGTTGGAGTTAGGTGTAGTCAGGTGACAGGTGACATGCTTTGGCCAATTAAGTGTGAGTGGAAGTGCCTTAATGTCATTTCTTGGTGGATACTTGAAAAGCCAATGTTGCAAAGAGACTCTTTACATACATGGGATGTCTACAGTCATGTCAGAAAGTGCTGTTAGTCACAGCTTGTAGATGAAGAAACTGAGGCTCTGAGAGGTGAAGTAGCTTATCCAAAGTCACCCAGTAAAATCAGCCTGGCCCTGTGTCTTCAAAGCATGTCCTCCTTTCACTGTGGCCCATTGCCCCTGTGGCTAGTTGATCATTGAGTTGATGTAACTGCATGTTTAGGAAAATGCAGGAGCTGGTGTATATTGAAACAAACACTATAAACCCTTTACTTTCTGACACATCTGACAACTCTGAAACCAAAAAGCCACAGGATCTTTGCATGCCCTTTGCTAATCCCCTGCCATATACTCCCTTAAGTGGCCCTCCACAAAATAAAACAAGACAAAACAGAACAAAACGAAACACAGTTTAGGCTTTGGAGATAGAAAAATTTGAGTTTGAGTCAAATCCAAATCCCAGCTCTGCCATTTACCAGCTGTGTGGACCCAGCAGAATTCTAACTTCCTTGAGCTTTTATTTTTTTACCCATAAAACTAGAGTGATATCTAATTCACAAGCTTGTTATGAGTTAGGTGCTGGGCACATGGAGTGTGCTTGACATGTTTGAGTCAAATGCAAGTATAAATTTGAAAACATCTGTGGCCTCCTTCCACTCTATGCTCCTTGCACTTAAACCCAACACGGCAGACACTTTTCAAGATCTTGGTACACTATGGCTTCTGTGACTGCAGCCTCCAGAGACTCCTTGCATGCAATGACTTTTATCCCCTTCCCCCAGACTAAAACTCACACACAGACCTGCCCTCTCAGCTCCATCTATAGATCAGAAAGAAGGTCATTGAGGCTCAAGAATAGTCAGAAGTCAACTGTTGGAAGATAAGATTTTGCGGTATAAGCAAGAACATGATCAAGCATATTTTGTGCCTTGGAGACGATATGGGTTAATATATTTTCAGCATGGGAGAAAATCCTTTGTATCTTTAAAATTGGGCTTTGTAGGATGAACAGGAGTTCACTAGAGAGATAAGGAAAGCAACAGTGTATGCCATGGCAGGGAAGCTTGATGCAGTCATGCTCAGGGTGCCTTTTCCCTGGAAAGTACATGGATCAGAATGAGCGGAGAAGAAGCTGGGGAAAGGAGTTGAGACCAGACCATAGGACGCCATGCTGTCTTGTTAAGGAGCTTGGATTCGCATGAATACTTACATCCTCCTTGGAGCCACATTTTGTCTTGGAAGGACACATCAAAAGCTCTTTCAATAGGACATGGTGCTGTGAAGTTAATGGCCTACAGTGTAGCCCCTTATCTCAGCATGTTTCTAAAGCTTCCAAAGTCCACTTATATGCATACTATAAGCCCTCTGTGTGGACCTCCAATTAGGCCTGCAATTGTGGGGAGTTTTTCAGGTGCTTTTGAGGTTGGCAAGGGAACTAGCTCCCATTTGTGAAATGTCCAGTTGGGGTTTAACAATGGGGATGGAAAATAATTGGATAGCAGCTGCTTGTTGGGTGTTCCTGAAAACTGGCTCTAGCCCTGTTGCTGGGCAGTGCTCTGCAGCCCAATTAGCCTACTGTGTCCTTCTAGTGAATTTAAAAGCCAAAGTAATCAGTGGACCTTCATTTTCATTGATATTTTTCTAGTAATTAAAACAAATTGAAAGCTCATTTACACTTAAGAAATGTCACCAGTACAGCCTAGAGCATGTAGTGTACCTTAATTGTAGATAAATTGCAGTCAGGATGGATCTCACATCACAAGAGTCCTCCTTTCTCTGTGTGACCAATGCACACCGCCTTGCACCCCCTCTGCGCTCAGTGCCACAGGTTCTCAGGAATCAGACCCTCCTCCGTGGCCACACGGTCTGCGATGACTCAGAAACTGCTGCCGTTAAGCAAATGCCAGCTTCCTTGTCTCTTTCTGGGCCATGCCATGAGAGAAGACTCTGTAGAAGACCAACTGATTTATTCTTTCCCTGAGGTCTCCTACTCATCCATTTCTAACAACAATTCAAGTTCTACTCATAAATAATAACAATTGTACCCTCACTTCTGCTTTGCCCCAGGACCTGTTAACTGGGCCCAGTCACCGGGTCCTCTAACCCAGCCATCCATGGGGGTGACTCAGGAAGGCTGCTGATTGTGTAGGACCAGGGCCCCCAGGGTTTGAGAGAGATGCCCCGGCAGGCGACACTTCAGGGCACCTCTCCCACTACAGCCAGAGCAGCTCTGTTTTATCTATTGTATATGGCACCTGGGCAAGAGTGCTTTTTA